CGGGCCTGGCCCGCGGCGCGGGGGCGCAGCGGGACCCCCTTGCGCCAGATGGGCTCTTTCTCCTCCGAATGCACCTGCAGGTAGGGCCCGGGCTGCGGGGCCGCGGGGTCCAGCTCCGTCTCGCTGTAGCCGCCCTCCTGCGAGCGCCTGTCAGTCTCCACCACGAAGCGCCCGTCCGGGCCCCGGCAGATGCGCTCCAGGGGCACGTGCTCCCCGACGTGGCTCTCGTACACCGCGTACCTGGGGCTGGCGCCGGCGATGCTGAGGCCCAGGCTGGTTCCTGCCTTCTCGCCCCACAGCAGCGTCCGCCGCAGGCTCTGGTACGGAGACGCCTGCAGCTTCAGCTTCATGGTACTGTCTGGGCTACCAGAGCCATGAGAATTGCTGTGAAAAGAGGAAGGGGAGTTATTTGAGCATCCCCATCCCGTTCCTGGGCTTGTCTGGCTGCAGCAGGCGCCTCACGACAGGTATCGTGACCCCACGCTGCAGGTCTAGAGTCCTACTCTTCTCTGTGGTTTCTGATCCTTCCTTCGGTCAAAACACCCAGCAAAGGAGAGCAGAGCAGCCCGAAGCAGCCCTAGGCCACAGCGCACCCTGACCCAGCGCCCCTGTCCCCCAGACCCCTCAGCAGGTCCCCCCGTGTCGTCCCACACCTGCCCCAAAGCAGCGGCGAGTGAATGAGGAGCGAGGCGGTGACGGGGAGGGAGCGTGGCATGGCGTGACTTACTGTGGAGGTGGAAGCTTCTTGCTGGGGGAGAAGACGAGTGGTGGATCTGGAAGGTCATGAGAACACAAGGGGAATCACACAGCGAGCAACTCAAAAGTGATGATGAGGAGACAGCGGCACCCCCCTGCTACCACCCTTGCGAACCTCCAATGTCCTGACGGAGCCACCAGCCCTGGGCTGGCCTCGTCCCCTCCCTGAACACCCAGTGTGGGTCCTGCCTCCCTGGACACGGCAGTTTGGGCTCTCCAAAAGCCCTGGGATCCAGGCGTGTGCGCCCGTGCAGGCAGCTCCTACCTTGCCTTCGCTTCTGGATGCGCGCGGCCCGCCGGCGGGTCATTGTGCAGGGCGGCCACGTGGCGAAAAGCCCG